TTGCTGACCCGAAGAGGGCAGATATCTGTTTGTCAAGGGCTCTTTTTCCAACAGACCCATCACACTTGCCAATATTTATGCTCCCAATACCAAAACAGGTTACGTTTATGCGTATGACTGCTGCTACTTTGGCTGAGTTTCAATCGGGTATGCTGATAATGGGGGGGGACTTGAATGTCCCATTAAAACCCATTGCTAGACTCCTCTTCGGGCAGTTCATTTTTGCCTTTTAAGGCCCTCAGGCAGATACATTTGCAGTTGCAACACTTGCAATTACATGACTCCTGGCGCACACTCCACCCCACTGTTAAGGATTACACGTTCTTTTCTCCGCCGCACAATAAGTATTCTAGGATTGATTACCTTTTTCTGTCACAGTCGGACCTCCCATTTCTACATGCTGCATCTATAGAGCGATGGTTCTCTCCGATCACCACCCCATAACCGTAACCTTGCGGCTCCCGGAGAAACTTGCTCGCTCGAAGCTGTGGCGCTTAGACGCCTCGCTTCTTGCAGACTGTGCTATTGAACAAGATATTCGCTCTCATCTGTGTGAATATTTCTCTTTGAATGGCTCTTCGGATACCTCCCCCTTACGCAATGGGAAGCTCATAAATGTGTTATCCGGGGTTGCCTTATAGCGGCAGCAACGAGACGTAAGAAAGACAGACAGCAACGTTTGAAGCTACTTACAGATAGGATACGCTCTCTGGAGAGGGCACATAAACAGACTCTGGCTGCGTCGACTCTTTCGGAACTCACAAGTGCTCGCTTGCGACTTCTTACTGAGCTGGGCAAAGTGGTCAAGAAAAAGATTCATCCTCTCCCAAAAGCTTTATTATGAGTTTGCCAATAAAAGTGGGAGGTTTCTTGCTCGGGCTCTTCGGAAAAAACGATCCCATATGACTATACATAAAATAAGAGGCCCTGACGGTGTGATGGCCACGTCCAATCCTGATATTGCCTCTCAGTTCGAACATTTTTATAAGTCCCTTTATAATCTTCCACCAGAACGTCCCCCGATGCACATTGACAGGCCTAGAGCGTCCCTAATCTCTGAATTTCTTCGTCTTCATGGTCCAAACGCTCTCTCTGAGGAGACGGTTCTATCGCTGGACCAAGATTTGACCTTAAGCGAATTGCAGTGCGCGGTACGGCAGTTGAAAACGGGCAAAAGTCCGGGTCCTGATGGCTTCTCTGCAGCTTATTATATAAATCCTTTCTGGACATTCTGAGTACTCCATTTCTTTCCGCTTTCAATACTCTTTCTCAGTCCCCTAGGCCACACCATAGGCTGTTGGAAGCACACATTTCCGTCATCCCCAAAAGCGGTAAAGATACCTCCCAGGTATCTAATTACAGACCCATCTCCCTGCTAAATGTGGATATTAAGTTGTTTGCAAAGATGCTTGCTAACCGACTTCTCCACTATCAAGGCCCTTAATCTCCAACACTGGCTTTGCAAATCTAAACTCTCCGGCCTTCTTCCTTTCATTGGATGCTGAGAAGGCCTTTGACAGGATTGCTTGGGATTATTTGCAGGGATCACTGATGGCTTTGGGCCTGGGCGAGAGAAAATGATAAACTTTATTATGACCCTATACTCGGGCCCTACAGCTCAAGTTCGGGTCAATGGACACTTATCGAACCCTTTCCGCCTGGGAAATGGCACTCGTCAGGGTTGCCCCCTATCCCCGCTTCTGTTCGTCATTTCCCTTGAACCTCTTCTGAGACAAATTCGCGCTAACCCAGATATTAAGGGGATCAGGATAGCAGACAAAGAATACAAACTTGCTGCTTATGCGGATGATATCCTCCTTTTTTTGGCTGACCCTCGCACCACCCTACCGAGTTTGCTGAAAGACTTTGCTTTTTTCCGCTTTTTGTCAAACTTGAAAATTAATTTTTCAAAGTCATACGCCCTCAACATAACCCTTCCCACTGATCTCGTCTCCTTCTGTGAGTCTCATTTTCCATTTCAGTGGGTGAAGGATGCCCTTCCATATCTTGGTGTACAACTTACTCGCAATCTGGACGACCTTTATGCCAAAAATTTCTTACCGGTTTTCAAAGTCATTCAGGAGGACCTAAACAAGTGGCATCGCCCCTGCTTCTCTTGGTTTGGTAGGGCTGCCATTATTAAAATGAATATACTTCCGCGTCTCCTTTATCTCTTCCAAACTTTGCCAATTCAACTTCCATTGACATTCTTTGCTTCTTGCAAGAAACTATGTTCCTTATTTTTATGGAATCACAAGCGTCCGCGGGTCTCGTTCTCTCAGCTGACTCGTCCCAAACTCAGCGGGGGCATTGGGCTCCCTGACCTGCACCGCTATTACTGGGCGTGTCATCTTTCCCGCATAGTCGATTGGCACATTCATTTGCTTCCAAAGACTGGGTCCTTTTGGAGAAGGCTTTTTCGCCCACTCCCCTACCATCGATCCCTTGGCTATTGCCGAAACACACACCTCAAGTTCTCCTCTCCCATCCTTTGATAGGTCCCACGTTAGAAGTTTTCCGTAAGGCCTGTAAAACGTCTTCCGTTTCGGACTCTCCTAGTCCCTTGACGTCGATCCGCCTGAATCCAGATTTTCCCCCAGGGTTGCACAAGGATTTTTTATCAAATTACTGGCCATACGCTCAGATTTTAGTAAAACATTTTCTTCACTCCGGCAAGGTGAAAACATTACAGGAGCTGAAGGTTAGCTTGAATATCCGCGAATTCCCTCTCTGGGCCTTTTTTCAGATTAGACACTTCCTGCTTTTCCATAAATCCCGCCATAATTGGACTCGCCCTGTTACTCCATTTGAATCCTTATGCTCTCAATCCGAACCGCGGAAGCATTTGATCTCTGAGATTTATCCTCTCCTAGGGGACAGCAGGACTTGCACTTCTTTCCCCTCTTGCCGTGCGTGGAACAGAGACCTAAAGATGGATTTATCAGAGTCGGATTGGGACCGCATTTTTATGTACTCCCACTCCTGCTCGAGTAATGTTTCGACGCAGGAAAATGGCTTCAAATTAGCCACTAGATGGTATCGTACTCCCTCCAGAATTCATCGGTTTAACTCTTCTGTCCCTGACGTGTGCTGGAGATGTGGGACACCTGATGGCTCTTTCTTGCATATTTGGTGGTCCTGTCCACTTATTCAACCATTCTGGCAGGAGGTCCACCGGTTGGTGACTTCAGTGACCACTCTGCCCATAGTTTTCTCTGCTGCTCAGCTATTGCTTCATCATACCCCCATTCCTAGGAGTCAATATTTCAAGTCCCTAGCGATGCATATGATCAACGCAGCCAGACTCTGTCTTCCTGTGCTATGGGGCTCCACTCACCCCCAACTATACGCGATTGGCTCAATCGTGTAGGCAAAGTGGCGGAAATGGAGGAACTGATTGCGACTGCACTTGATCTGCCAACTAAATACTCACATGTTTGGGCCTGCTGGACCCACTTTGTAACTACCCCTGAATTCGGATCTCTCATGGGTCGGGATACCTGATTGAGCTCAGCCCTACCTCTGGTTATGCCCTTGGTTCTCTCATAATCTGTGTGGTTATGACCTCTTTTCCGGTAATTTATATTTGCCTGCTTAGCTTTGGTGAGTGTTTAAATTCTTGACACTCTCATTTATGATCTCCAATAACAATGCTGACACGAACGTCGCAGCCCGGACCCTTCGCTTCCCTTGCTTCCCCCCCCCTTTTTTTTTTTTTTTTTGCCTCTTATTCCCCCTTCTCCCTCTCCCCTTACTCTACCCCCCCCACCCCCCCCTTTTTTTTTTTTTTTTTTTCTCTCCCCCTCTTTCTCTTCTCTCTCTCTACTATGACTCCCATTCTTTTCCTTTTCTTATCCTTTTCTTTCTTTCTATTCCCCTTTTTTCTTTTCTTTCTCGACAACCTCTTAGTCTTCGATCAGGCTTAATCTTCATTTTATCCAGGATTACTTGGTATATGGTTAGCTTCTCTCCTCTAGGATAGTCAATGGTACTCACGACGTCTTCTCTTATACTACAATGCTCACTTAGCCTCATGATAGTGTACTGCTTTTGGTTTAGGCTCTGAAGGTTCATTTCCTCCATGCTTAGGCCAGTACGCCAATATTCACTTGGTGGAAGTAAGCTGTTATCACCTTCTATATTGTACATTTTTGAATCTTGAGTACTACAGGCATATCTCTGCCGTAATTTGCCATGCTTATGTTATCCATAGTGTCGCACTCTACCATGTTGTTTTCTTCCTGTATTTTGGTTTAAGCTGTGTCTATGACCTGATTGATGCTGCGTGTGCATTTCTTTATATTTTCCTGTAACATGTTGTCACTTCTAAATAAACTTTTATGGAATAAAAAAAAAAAAAAACCTATAACAGGCTGACAACACAGCGGCTCTATGGGTCTTCTCACACATTGGAGCATTTACATTTACATTAAAAAAGGCTGCTTCTAAGCTGTGCATCTATCCCTGTATGAATGTAAACTCTCATACTATATGTGTGGAATGGTCTACATGGCTGCTCCTGTCATTGATTTTTAACAGGCTGTTGGCAGCATCTGCATGGAACATTTCTCAATCCTGGGCTCCCACATACTGCTCCACCGGTCTGAGGATTTGAAATCCCCACAGCTTAATCTCCTCTATTTGGGGGGGGGGGGGGGGGGTGCACTCAAATATGACAAATGCAGCCAGATGCCCATACAGACTGCTTCCCCTGATGAACGGTTGTCTACCCTGCCTGGGTACAATATCTACAGGGCACAGCTGAAATCTGCTAGAACTAGCCATGATGATCAAATGATCAAATCATACAACGTCAAAGAAGATATTCCACTGACAGGGAAAAAATTCTCTAGAAGGGAACGGGTATAGAGGTTAGGGTTAAAATTGTGATTTGCCAGGAAATGGGCTTTAAGTGCACTCTGCAGCATTTGAAAAATATCGGCCTGCATCTGTGTAGTCAGCTCAGCCTGTAGTTTTTCTCTTCTCCTTCTTTTATGTAGATTATTATGAAGAAATGAAAGAGCATGGTCCTATCTACACTTTATGGTCTGCATCTGAAGAAGAGCTGGTAGACCCCCTGAGAGGGGTTGCAAATTGCATAGACAAGTGCTGCAAGATCACAGAAGCCTTGAATTCTAAGCTCTCGTGTGATCTGATTCCAATTATTCATGAATATGTCCTATACAGTGAAACACTGTCTGTAAGTATTGCTTTATGTACATTTCGTGTTGCACAGGGGATTACATTGAATCAATGGCACTAACATGATTAGCAGATTAAGTCTCCGACTTGGAGGTTTAGGTTTTAAAAACATTCCTCTTCTAACAATTGCCCCCATTTTCCTAATGCTTGCAGCTATTCCCTGACCATTAAAGTGAACTTGTCATCATGAATTATCATTTTCAAATTCATTAACACTGTACAGAAGCCGTGGCCTATATATCAAGCTAACCATGTGTTATGTGTTACCTTTTTGTTGCATTTGACCAGTTAAAGGGATTCCAACAGCATAAGGCTTACATAAGTAAGTCTGCTGAACGCTGTTTTCCAAATGGACTTCATCACATAATCTTCAGTGCAGTTTCACCTAAGTATTCCCTCTTTTTCTGAAAAGCACATTGTATCTAATACACCGTGTCAATCTACCATTCGTGTTAAAGAGAAACAGTCCTAATTAGACTTAAGTATCAGAATATTCAGTTTTAAAGGACATGTTCACCTTTTTATAAAAAAAAGAATAACAAATGCACATCTTTTTGCAGGGAAAAAAATGTGCATTTATTTTTTTACACTGGAGCCTGTAAAGCATTGCACCCATGATCAGATCACAGGTGCAATGCCAGGCTTCTGCAGACTTACAGTGCACTTTCTGCCAGTATCTGTTACGAGCAGGCATTTACTGAATTGCAGGAAGAATCAATGAACCACGAGAGCACTCACCAGTGCTCTTACAGTTCAATGAGAACTACAAGCCATCTCAGATGATGGTAGTTGTAGTTCTTACATTCACTGTATTTGCTGCGGGTGCGGAGATAATTTCCCCCACCTACTTTCATGGTGCGGTGGGGGCTTCTGGGGAGAGAGGACAGGAACTGGAACATGTTACATGTCCCAACCTACCGAAATACGGGTGGAACATGTGACGTTACAAAGGTGAACTTGGCCTTTAAATCTTTATAATTTTTCAGACTAGCCTATGAAAGCACACCCCTTTCTGTGAAAAGCATTTATTGTCCAGTTCACCAAAACCATAAAATGTACAGTCATGGCCTAAAATATTGGCACCCCTACATTTCTGTCAGATAATGCACCTTTTCGCCTAGAAAATTGTTTATAATTGCAAATGTTTAGGTATTGTCTTGTTTATTTCTTTTTTGTATTGGTATGACACAAAAAATTGGAGAGAAAAAAAGGCAAATCCAACACATTCCACGCAAAACCCCAAAAATGGACTGGACAAAATTATTGGCGCTTCTCAATATTGTAAGAAATAATTACATTCCAAGTTTGTGATGCTCCGGTAATTTGTAATTAAACTCATCTGTATCAATTAACAGGTGCTGACAATATAGAAATCACACCGGCAACCAGATCAAATAGTGAAAAATTGACGCAACCTTTCTGTTGTGTGTCTGTGTGTCTGTGTGCCGCATGGAGAAGAGAAAGAGCAGCAAAGAATTGAGGATTTGAGAAAAAAAATTGTGGAAAGCCATGGACAATCTCAAGGTTGCAAGTCTGTCTCCAGAGATCCTGATGTTCCTGTGTCCACTGTGCGCATCATTGTCAATAAGTTTACAGCCCTGGCACTGTAGCTAATCTTCCTAGGCATAAACAAAAGAGGAAAATTTGATCAAAGATTACAACAAAGGATTGTTCGAATGGTAGCTAAAGAATCGCGATCAACTTCCAGACAAATTCAAGCTGACCTTCAGGCACAGGGTTCAACTGTGTCAGCTTGGACTATATGTCGCCATCTGAATGAAAAGAGACACTATGGTAGGAGACCCAGGAGGACCCCACTGCTGACACAGAAACAACAAAAAAGCCAGATTGGAGTTTGCCAAAAGTTGCCTGAGGAAATCAAATCCTTTTGGGAGAATGGGCTGTGGACAGACAACAAAATTGCAGCTTTGGTAAAGGCCATCATTCTACTGTTTTCAGAAAAAGCAATGAGGCCTTTAAAGAAAAGAATACAGTCCCTACAGTCAAACATGGTGGAGGTTCACTGATGTGTTGGGGTTGCTTCAGGCACTGGATGTCTTGACCATGTTAATGGCATTATGAACTCTGAAGGCTACCAAAGAATTCTGGGGTGCAGTGTAGGGCCCAGTGTCAAAAAGTTACGTCTGGCAGAGGTCATGGATCTTACAGCAGGACAATGACCCAAACCTCACGTTGCAAAGCACCCAGAAATGGTTTAAGATAAAGCACTGAAGAGCATTGAAATGGCCAGCAATGAGTCCAGATCTCAATCCCATAGCGCATCTCTGGAGGGATCTCAAAAGAGCAGTTGGGAAAAGGAACCTGTCCAATCTGAGAGACCTGGAGCAGTTGGCAAAAGAAGAGTGGTCCAAATTTCCAGTAGAGAGGTGTAAGAAACTCATTGATAGTTACAGGAAACAATTGATTTCAGTTATTTTTTTCCAAGGGGTGTGCTACCAAATATTAAATTGAGGGTGCCAATAATTTTGTCCAGTCCACTGTTGGAGTTTTGCGTGGGATGTGTCAGATTTGGCTTTTTGTTTCTCTACTTTTTTTGTATCATACCAATACAAACAAAAGAAATAAACATGAGAATGCCTAAACATTTGTAATTGCAACAATTTTCTGGAAGTGGTGCATTGTCTGACTGAGATGCAGGGGTGGCAATATTTTTTGCCATGACTGTACCTGTCAGGTTGCACATATTGGAGATATTGTTATAGAGTACCCGTACATTGCAGACATCTGATATGCACATGCTTGTTCTTGGTTAGTGACTCAGTAGTAAAGCAAGGATAAGGATGACAACATGTGAACGGGGCCTTAGATCCCACAGCTTCATAAACAAGTGTGCATTACTATCTTTTACTATTCTTTCCACCAGATTTTTCTGTGCTTAAAAACATTTCCAATGTGTCCTTTTCTTAGTTTTCACATGATTTTTTATATTCACATGATTTTTTAAAATTACATTTCAAAATGGATGAATGCAAAAGTTAGCTATACCTCCTGATAATTTTATATTTATTTTAACATCCACTAATGACTGGTTCTAAGAATTTTCCTTTACAAAGCTAAACTCTATGCAAACCACTAAATGCAAAGATCAAATAAATATAAGGGAGGTGTTTCAATTTTTAAAGAGATTTGTATTTTCTCTCCATCCATTCCTGAGCTTTAAATATATCTGCTCCACAGCACAGTCCTGCCTGGCAGGGCATTAGAGCTCATTTTTCTCTGCACTAGTTAAGCAACACTTACAGGTCTGGTACCTCCCCCAGCCTGTGTATAGACAGTGAAAGGAGAAGCAGCAGACTGATGAGCTATCCAATACTATCCAATATTAGCACAATTCTTACCGTTTACTAAAAGTGAAATTGTTCTTTTAACCACTTGCTGCCCAGGCAATTCTGACATTTCTAACATAGATAAGATTTTTTTTGGTAGAAAATTAATTTGAGCCCCCAAACATATATTTTCTAAACAATATCACAAGTGTAATAAAAGCGCCACACCCTTAATACTTTAAAGCAGCAATTCCACCTCAAAGAAACCAAATAAATTTCTTAGTGCTATAACTTAAATAAAGGAATGCGCTAAAACCACAAACTATTCCTAATTTAGTGTAGAAACATTAGTGCAAAAGATATATATATCTATTCTCAATTAATATCAAAAAATATCAAAATTATGTGCAAAACGTACCCCTTCAACCGCCCCTTAAAGACGTCATTCATGACGAAACTAGTAGGGCTTGGCTTGCTGGATGCTGACGTCTGTGGAGAAAATTGAGTCACGAGCGCTGTAGTGAGTGTGCGGGGAACAGGAGACTGTTATACCATTTGCTGTTTTATGCTGTTCTACTGGTGTCGGTGAAGACACCCTTTTTGTGAGTGTAAATCTTTATTAAATTGTTGGATACTTTTATAAAAAAAAACTGGCTGCACCATGATTTTCTCTTTCATTCCCAAACATGACCTCGGTGGAGAGATATAAAAAGAGAGAGTGATATAATGCTCCTGGAACCATTATATTGAGTGGTGGATACCTACCTTATGGATGATTGTGTAGCTATTGATCATCACACCTGAGAAGTTGATTCATTGCATCTGTTCCCAGAGCAAAAAGCGTTTTTTGCTGATCTAGAGATTGATCAGCATGGAGCTCTGGTGAGTTACCCAACTTTACTTTGGAGGTGGATTTTGGCACAATTTCTTTGAGAGTACCTGAATTTTAAAAGGATTTGTTTGGACATTTGAAGAAATTCAGAATCGGACATTTTTTTATATTCACAAATTTAATTATTTAAATTACTTATGCACTAAAAAATAGTTTTGCACATAATTTTGATATTTTTTGATATTAATTGAGAATAGATATATATATATCTTTTGCACTAATGTTTCTACACTAAATTAGGAATAGTTTGTGGTTTTGGCGCATTCCTTTATTTAAGATATATTTTCTAAAGGCAGAGTCCCTGGAGAATAAAATGGTGGTTGTTGCAACATTTTTATGCTGCATATTTGTTCAGCTGTTTATCAAACGCTAAGTTCGAGGATAAAATTCCCCTAAATTAATTTTAGTGCACACAAACCATATAATACCATATAACCCTGCACAGTTACACTATATATAGTTTAAGACCGGCTTTCCAGACTCATGCATAATTCCAATTATACTGGTTTACTTTTGACATAAAAACGACTAGAGTGTATGGACCGGCTTTCTACAGACTTTCCTTAATCTCAGCTACAGAACCTATCTCTAGTAGTATTCAAGTGGCAGTAAAATGTGCCCACTCAAGGCAGGTCAGCTAATGGAAACTGCTTTCTGTGTGCAGAAAAAGTAGTGCATTCTATTTACTGCGAAGCTGCCATGTAAATAGAGCTTCATAACCTCACAGTTTAACTCTTCTTTTAAAAGAGGTTGTCCTGAAGTGTGGAGGTCTTTTTTTCTTTTTTGGAATGAAAATGCATTAATGTGCTTTAAAAATTCATGTTTACTTATTTATTTTATTAGAAAAATAATTTTCTACTGTAAAGTATGCCGTCATTCTGCATTCCTTCCCAGAAAGGACAGCAGCTGCATGTTTTGAGGTCTTAACTATGTAAATAATAGTATAGCGCTTTTCATATATCCTATGCAGGTAAAACCTCCTTAAATGACTCTCTCAAAGTGTGAAATAACCTAAAGCAATAAATATTAAATGCATATAAGTTCCATCCTTTCTAAGTGTTAGAGTGCTCCACATATACAAAATTCATAAAGTGTATTTCACCAATTGAAAACAAATATAAACGTTAAATAAATCTCATAATTTCCATAACGTGCACATGCAAATGCAAATTGCCAAATTCACATAATATACTTCAATCAATGCGAAAACTCAGAGCGTGCCTCCTCTGTGTCAAATGCAATATCCTGCTAAATAGAATATAATTGGGTGTATTACAAAGAATATTTTTAATAGACCAGCACAAACTGTGCTAAAAATCTTCACAGCAATCTGTATACAGTGATGTAAAATCTCTGCAGCAGTCCACCACAATCCACTTTTAGTGATTCCCCACGTGTTCACTCCACCACCACAAAAGGTATTTGGATGTGGCTTAACCTTTTCAGGTGGACTCCTAAGTAAGAGATCGCTTAAGGCCAAAGTAGAAACTCAGGTACTCTCACCGGCTGCTTTGAACATTCACTTCCCTGGTTTCTTTTACTCCTCCTAAGCAGGGACGGACTGACCATTTGAGCACTCTGGCACTACCCGAGGGCCCAGGGTCAGTAGGGGGCCCCATGAAATGCCCCTGGTACCTTTTTATAGGCTTTTTTAGGTGTGCTTTGAGTGTGGACAAGGACACGGGCCCCATGATCCCCTATTGCCTGGGGGCCCCATGAGTTGTCAGTCCGCCTCTGCTCCTAAGGGTTAATGTCACTCTCCATGGCCCCTTTAAACTGTAGTCCTCCTTGGCTTCTATTACTCCTCCACTCCTCCAATGGTTGATGGTCTTGAAAAGTAAAAAGGTGCTAATAGTGCAGTATATTCCTCATTATTAAAAGACAAAAGTATCCACTTACATCTTAACTCATAACTATCAGCATAACATCAGCTTAGAAGAGAAGCATGGGTTTAAGAAAAAAAAAAAAAATTGAAATCACCTAGGTGGATCTGATTGCCACATCTGTCCCCGCCAGCTCTGAGACTGAAAACTGAGCGCTCACAGACCATTGCTCACTCATTTCTGTGTTCCTTGAGCAGAGAGCTGGTGAATCGTCAGAAACAGGCTCTCTGCTCTGTCCCTCCATGCTCACTGGAGTGCTGGACTGTGGAGGGGGCAGGAGTAACTGGTTCAGGCTCTCAGTGGATTGTTAAGAAGCTCAGCCAGGTGCTGGTCCAGGCTTGGCTTCTGGGTGGAAGTCAGGATCTTTTTAGAGCCTGGACTAGCTCTGTGATGTCAGCCTACAGGGGGATTGTAGGAAAACAGGTCACCGGAGTGCAGAACGAACTGCACTCCTTTGATCCCCAGGAGAAGTATAGACAAAAAGCTCTGGCTATATTTCTTTACATGGACTTAATATAGCATAGACCCATACGTCTTCGCTTCTGGCACTGTAAGGAAAGCCTCAGAGCTTAACATGAGTTCTGCCTAGCGTGGTGACATCATTGCCTTGCCTACATGACACATTGCATCCAAAAGGGATTTTCTCAAAGATCCTAACTTTCTGGGACCCCCTCCCAGTATACTGTAAATGTCAGCTGTAATTAATCATAGCTGGCATTATAATGCACTCACAGAAGAAGTCGACCGCTCTAGCTGTCAAAAAAGCAGTCTGTCATTGTTTTTAAACAACAGTGCTCCAGATTACACAAAAAGATACAATGTAACCTATTGTTACATTTGTATCTTTCTGTTCATTCATCTGCAGATCAAAGGGATGAACTTATATCTGCAGATGTCAGTTAAAGTAACCTGACAAGGAAAAAAATCACTTTTTTTTTTTTTTTAAATAAAATGTTCCTCTGTTTAACCCCTTATTGACCCTTAGTTTACTCTAACCAGCCTTAATTAACTCATTAGACTCCACCGCTCTTCAACTATTATTTTCATGCTGATTTTTTTAAACTTTTTTGTTTTGTTTATTATTTTTACACATTTAACATATATTTACATATTTCCCATTAAAAAAAGAGCAAAAGAAAAAAAAAAACAACAACTCTTTATTTTATTAGTAAATAACTTTGCAATGCTTTGTATCAGTATTATAATGTTGGTGTCATTTAAACATGACAAATTACAGCAGAAAATGTGCACTTGCTATGTGCAGTAAACCTTTTTTATTTTTAAATGAACACTGCTCAAAAAACAAACAAAAAAAAAACGTGTGTTTTGCATTTTATTTTCTAAGGATTGCAAAAAAAAAGGATTAAGGATTTCCTCCAGCAAGAAGAAACAATAGCAATGCTGGAGGCACTTTACAGCACACGCTAATTTTGGTAGCATGAATATTCATGTGGAACCTATGGTTTTATTTTTTAGTTAAAGAACATTTAATTGTTCTCAAACTGTTATGGGTAAAGTTCCACTTTAAGCAATGGTTGTGGTTTTCCTTTTAAAAACAAAATCATGAATTTGAAACTAAATCAATAATTTTTAAATACTGTCCTATGATTTGTTGAAGAAATTCTCACTGTAAGAGGTTTTATTATAACTGTTTATAATTTTTTCCTTTGCTGTTTTGTCATAAGGGTGTGCTGAAAAGAAGAGATCAAATTCAGGCAGAGCTTGATGCCAAAGTGGATGCTCTAGTCAGTAAGAATACAGAAAGAGATATAGTAAGTATATATTTGTGTTTATCTTTTTTTTTAACATAGAAGTGCAAAACTTCTACATACATCCTGTTTATTCTTGGAGTCACGTACAGTATATTCATGTAAAAAGAAATTGACAAACTTCTTGGGCGCTGGTTACCAAAACTGAGGTCTTGTAGCTTGGGAAGACTATAACCACAGCTGCTCAATAAACCATAGGAGACAAATGTGAATAGGACAGTAGCTGATACTGAGCACTATTGGTATACAACAAACTTTGAGAAAGCATATATCTGTGCGAAATGCGTCGTCATAGCAACCAGGTCTTGTGGTGGTCCGCCCCAGGCACTCTGGCTTCTCTGTCCATCCATCAGTGTCCATCTGCTGGTTTTCTATGCTTCACTGATGTTACTTCCGGCAGGCGAGATCTGGGGACATCCGAGGCAGCATCCTGTTCTGTGAGTGGTACTTTCTCACAGTTGGCGACCTATCTTCCAGCAGAGCAGCCCACAGGATTCCTCTCCACTGCCTCCTGCACCCTGGTCTAGATGTACCTATTTCCTCAGCAGTAAGCCAATTTTATTGACCACATTCACACATTTGGGCTATATCACCCATTTTTACCTTTGTTTACATTGGACATATGACTGTGAACCATGGTTTTAATTCCTTTCAAGTGGATAATAAAATCCTTCTTTTTTACTCTGGATAATATTGTCATCATCCTTGCTAATTTTTTATATTTTACTGGTCACTATTAATTTGGCTCTCTACCAATAGCATTCAGTATCAACTACTGTTATATTCATATCCAGTCACCCTGTCAAAAAATAAGTCAGCAGCTACAAAAACTGTAGCTGCTGACTTTTTAAAAAACAGCCACTTACCTGTCCCTCGGTCCCATGTTGTGTCCCCCGCAGCTCGTTTCACCGGCTGTCCTGTATTCCAGGAGGCCAGCATCTTCAGTGTGGGCATCCGGCTGTGATAGCTTGCAGCTTCATAGCCGGGTACCCACTGCGCATGCATGAGTAGCGCTGCGCTCGGTGAATGGTCCTGTAGTCTTCTGGGATCTGTCACGTGTCCCAAAAGACTACAGGGGAGGGAGGACACCTTCCACCTTCGGACCAGAAGTGGGAGCAGGTACCTGGCCCACCCTCCTCCCCAAAGGTACGAATTTTTAATGGAGAGTGGGGGAGCAGTCCTTAAAGTGGAACTTCCCCTTTTGGGTGGAGCTCCATTTTAAGCACCTGACAAAACACTGCATGCAATTCTTGGCGAAAGTGCATGAGTTCAGAGAGATCTTAATCTGGTGACAGATGGACCAAAATTTGGCTGGTTCAGCAGGAACTGGATGAATTTTGATCTACCTATGGACGGGCTGCTTTTACTGAAGTTGATCTATCAGAATATGAAGAGCTAAACCCATTAGTGCTAGTGTGAATGAAGCCAACACTACAACTGATCTAAAATTAACTAATTTTTCTAAACCTATACCAAGAATATGTACACTAAAGTATTTTCCATTTTCTGAACAAACCGTAAAAGCACTGATAAACAAATCCTTCCTCAGGAGTTGTGGAGAAACTCATCATCAAATTTCACAACAGAGGCACTGAAATCTCAGCTCCTCTCCGTATTTTCTACGAACACTAGCAGAATCTTGGAAGCCGACCAGCCTTCAAATGTACACACACAGCAAATGTTTCTACATTGTAAGAAACTTACTGATGCCCTACTTTAAAATATTTGCTGTGATCTTTGAGGATTGTATATAATTAGTTACTTCACTGTACAAGCAGCTAGAGAGGTCAGTGATGGCTTGTTTTAAGCCCATGTAAAAAAAAATATAAAAATCCACCATTGCAGTGAGTTTCTCCAGCAATGTATGGATTAATTGCTTGTCTAATCTAGGGGCAGAAAATCAAGTTGTATATATGTACCTTATTCCTCACTCATGGTCCCTCCAGCACTGCAACTGGTCTCCTGCAGCTGCTCTGTAAGCTGTGACTGGCGCCTGTCCAACTCTGGCTTCCTAAATGTACAATATTTGGTTATTATCCCTGTATTGTGCATGATGATACTGAGGTTCTGCCCACGGAGCAGAGCTTCGGGCAGAGGAGGAAAGCACTGGAGCCAGTTGGAGTGAGGAAACTGATAGGAGAAACAGCCTCTTTTGTAATTCCATTAACATAGTTAGCAATTACCTTTTGCACCACTTCGATGGTGGAAATGTTTTTAAATTCCTGGATTTGGCTTTAAAAATTGTAAGAGTATGTAAATACTTATTGTCCATAGTCTAGGCACAGGTGTCCTTTTAAAGCCTTATTTCAGCGTACCAAATACCAATATGTACAAGTTTCTCAGGTTTCTTCTTTTACATCTTTCATTCTAAAAAAAAAAAAAAATGATGATAAAAATCATTTTATTCTGTTTATTACTTTATCAATTAGTCTGAAGTAGTGATCTGGTGCCTCCTCATAGTCTGCATATTATTTAGTATGCAGTTAACATGATATAATAATATCTGTTGCTTAGATCCACTCGTTGAAATCCTTTGTTTCCCATGAATCAGTATTTTACCTTCACCTGAAATTGCTCCATTATCTGTTCTCCTCAATAGACATACCATAGAATCTCTGTTACCACCAGTCAGTAATAGTGTAATTTAGTTTTGCACATATTAGGAGTGTGAGGCATCTATTAAATTTGGGATGGCTTTCTGGAAGATGTTTTTGGGAGCTTTCATTCTTTCCTGTAGAAAATAATGTGATCTCTTTGCACTCAGCCACATGAATAACACAATCTGCATTAACATACCAGTCGCATTAAGATCTTCCAGCAAGTTGGAAAATCTTAGTATGACTTAATGAGCACTGATGAATTTTGCTGTGTATAAGACCTTTTGGGACTGCAATGCATTATCGTGTGTTATAGTTAACTGTGCTAAAGGACAACTCCATAAAAAAACAACCCCCCCCCCCAAAAAAAAAAAAACTTGCTACCTGAATACACAGAACTAAACCAACCCTACCCCTCTTCAGTCTTGCATAAGTGATTGCTTATTTCCTCCAACAACAGCGGCCTCCCCATTTTTTTACATCCCAGCTAATATAAATCTAGGAGTAAGCTGTCAGTACCTTTGTATTAATGTCCTGTAGGCTGGAATGGGATAGGCCACACTGCCAGAACATTGAACAGCCCTGAACTAGATTTTTACTGGTAGAGATGTAGGCAAGGCGGGACGCCACTATTGTTGGAGTTAAAATGGTTGTAAACCCTTCCATATACCCAGTGAAGTGACTGGCCTCAGGTGATACACAGAGATAAAAAATAATCCTCCCACTTTAATTGTACTTGTTTATCTACAGCCGTCCTTTCCCTACAGCCATTAAAGTGCAGAATTTACACAAAATCTCTCAGCTCTGAAAAGCAGAAAAGGGGGTGGAGAGCTGAAGTTACATCAGTGAGGAGAGCTCTGAGAGCTGATTGGAGGGAAGGAACACACCCCCTTCACACAGGAACAGAGCTGAGGCTGTCAATCTGCTAAAGGTCCCTCCCCGTCACCATTTTCTTTTGGTGTCAGGAAAAATCGTCAGAAGTGATTCGTGCTGATAGCAGAGGATTGAGGCAGCAGACAGAAATTACACTTCTGGATTCTGGATTGGGACAAGCACACACTATATAGGGATATGCTGTGTTTATATTTTATGTCTGAGGTTTACAACCACTTTAAGTAAGTACCTGTTGGGGAAGGGGGGTTTAGTTTAGTGTATTTCGGGGGCTGTAAGTGGCAGGAGATTGCACTTTACAGAACTTGTCCTTCAATTTTGTCCTTATTCTATAATTTTGAATGGCTGGTAGCACGCTTTAATGTACTTTGAAAATCATCCCTTTTTTTGTTTTCTTTTGTTCTGGGTTTTTTTACACAGTCCACCATAATAATAAAACACACATTTTACTTGTTGTCAGTAATTAATAACAATAACTCATGGCAGATTAATTCCTTTGAAATCCAAAATCTTAAAAAAAAAAAAAAAAAACTACCAGAAACGTATTTCTTCTCATCTTATGTGAAGTTATCTCAGCAGGTGTATTGCTTGCACACATCAAATGTTGGTCACGTAAGAGTGTTATTTTAAAGTAGCAAATAATGCTAGGTTAAAGCCTCTGGACAACATCTGGAGATCGAATACTACAGCTAATTAATGAGCCAGCCAGGGAAGCAATTAAATATAGCAAAGCACAGAGTAACAAACATCAATAAAATATGAGTATTCATAGAGGGCAGCTGAAGATTGGGAGTAAGGGATCAAAAAACATCAAATCAACTTTTATTCACAGAAACTTCAAACAAGCTCAACCAGGGTGCATCTCTTTAGACATTAAGTAGGTAAGTGACAGAGATAGTATATCACGTTTTGAATATCCTCCCTTTATTTCATAAAACGTTTAGGGATCAAAATATTTTCACATTTTTTCTGGATGATCTCTGTCTCACGTTACAAAAATTATGTAAAGAAAAAATTCAAGAACAAAGGACTAGTAACCAGTGTTTCCTGTGGTTTCCCTGCAGCATAGAAGGCAGAAGAAGGCCCTCAAACAAAATAATTTGGACTAGACTTTGGTTCACCATAATGTGGGCTTGTCTTGCCGTCCTATTTTTGAAGGGAAGTTGCGGTTTTAATTTTTTTATATTCTGTACTTCTGGAAGTAACAGGCTTAATATAAATAATCACATTGATGTGATGCATCTTCTTCCTCGTTATACTTTGCTAATCCTTTTGTCTCTCTATAAGTGGTACCAAATAGTTGTACATGGATCAGATGGTTTGTAAAGGGGGCTGTATTTCTTCTTAAGTCTGGATAAAGCCCCTCCGCTGCCATTCAGTTTATCAATGAAGTTCAGACTTTAGTTGAGTAACAGGAGACAAGGGTGTGAGCCCTACAGTACATCCTGGACCTACTATCCAGGGAGGCTTGACAGGGATAGATTTGAAGAGTAAAACCTGTATCACAAGTTGCCT